CTAATTTGTATGAAACTACAGACTTAGTACTTTGACTTCACAAACATCTAATTTGAACCAGTGCTGCATTCAACATACCACGTGACACACACAAATCAATGTTTGTCTGTGTTTTTGAATATTTATATTTAAATTAACAAATTGAGTAATTTATAGTTCTAAAGTTTGAATTATAATCTACAGTTTGATACCAAACTTATGACATAAATTCATGAAATAGCAGTTCAATTAAATTTTGAATGAGAGTCAACATACGAGATGACATAGCCTTACACCTTTGACCCATCTCGAAATGCTTAAAATTGAGGTTGTCATAGGTAGAAGTATTTAGGTATAACGTATACTTTAAGAACAACAACGGATCTATTGATCCATCTAGGCCATCCCATCTACTGCTAAACTCTAAAATAAAAATTAAACACTCAAAGCCAGCCCTTATGATTCAAATAGTTATCAAGCTTTCCTATAAACTTCCATAAAGTAATTGCATATAAAAAAATCTTATAAACCTGACTAAGATCCCCTCTAACTCTTTTTTTTATTCAAAAAAATTTTAGAAATTTTAAACTATCTTTATATGAAAATGTTATCCTAGTAGCCCTTCTCTGAACCCTTTACAACAATTCAATGTCCTTTCTAGGGTAAGGATCTCAAGACTGAACACATTACTCCAAATGCAGTCTACCAAATGACCTGTACGAGCATTTCTCAAACTGAAATCCATGGCCTCCTCTGAGGGTCTGCAAATCATGTCTCAAATTTCCTTAAAAAAATGTTTAAATATGATTTATAGAATAAAAAATATTTTCATAAAATTAATTTATAGGAATACAGCTTTTTTATGTACATAGAATATTAAAAAAAAAAACACAAAGCATCATTAGGCTTGGGAGTCTGAGAAAAATAGTTGAAATTGAAAGGGGTCCTTGGGTTACTAAAGTTTGAGAACTGCTGACCTATACAATGAGCCACAGCACATTGCTTGGATGGCTTAAGAGACTGATCAACTGGAATACAAAGATCCTTTTCTTCCATAACACTGTTGAGGTCATACCCACCAAAATCATACTCATAATTCAAACTATATCTCACATGCATTACCTTGTATTTATTATAATCAAATGACATCTATAATTTATTCACCCAATGTATCATGTAATTCAAGTCTTTTTGTAAAGCAGCAACATTCTTCTCATAGCCAGCAACATCCAAACCTTTAATATAAACAAAATTAAATAACTTCTTGTCCATTTCTTCATCTGTATCACTGATGACATTAATTCAGTTTAACTGAACTCCATTTATAGCCACCCTCCGATTTCTTTCATCTAGCAAGTTTTATAACTAATGAGACAACCTATCCACACACCTATAACAAACCTTTTATATGGCACCCTGTATAATACTTTCTGAATATTCAGATACATCAAGTATACAGCCATACCATCACCTACATAATCAGTAACCTCTTCAAAGAATTTCAAAAGTTTAGTAAGGCATGAAACTAGTGAAACCATGTTGACTGTCCAACAAAATTTTAATCTTTGCTAAAAAACTTTGCAATGTAACTTTTATCAGACTTTTAAAAAACTTTTTCCACCACTGATTTATTTAAGACCAATACGCCTATAATTACTGGGACAAGTTTCACCACATTCACAAAGAGGAATAACATTAGTAATCTTCAAGCACCTGCCCACTATTCAAGGACTTAGATAAAATAGTATCAAGTGTTTTTTTTTAATCTTCAAATATGTCCCTCACCACCTTTTAACTCATTGTCAAAATTAAATAATGATAAATCTTGTCATATGGCTTCATAATTTGGTTTTACATAATTAAGGACTAAGATTTAATATCTCTACCTCAACATATAGCAAAACATAAAACCTAATTATGAAATTATTACTCTTCAAATGTTCCCTTACTTCAACATTACAACTATGTGTTGGATATACAAGAATGTTTAGTGTAAGTGTTATTATTTAGTTTATTTTGTGACTTAATATCTAATGATCATTTAGTTTTCATGACAGCAGTGTGGAAGATTGATTGTTTTAAAAGTGTTAGTTGTTGTGTAACTCTCTCTGTCCGTGTGGACATTGATGAAAAGGAGACAATTATTTAAAGTTTGAGATACAACTGTGGTAATCCACGGAGTAACGTAAGTGAATCTTTCACAGATTGTACAGTAAGAAACAAAGTAGAGAAAAATAATTTGTCTTGTCAATTGGATTCTAAAGTAATTGAATCAGCCTGTGTGGGCTCTTGACAAGAAAAGAGAATAATTTAGAGTTTTAGATAAAACTGTGATTTCCTATAGTGTAAAGAATTTTTGTACATATGTTTGACTTGTTTCAAATATATTATTTTAAAACAAATGGATTGTGTGCTGTCTGTTTATTGTTTGAATTTATTGCCAACAAGTCACAGACACCTACTCTATTAGAATCCCAACACCCATATTCAGTCCTGATCTCTAAATACTTGTATCTTCAACCCAACTCTTAAACTCCTTAGAAATTGCAGAACTCTACCATACTAGATAGCAATGTTTTTGATATATTTACTACTGTACTAAAGAAATAAAACTGCCTCAAATAGAAATGTATCTGAAATCTCTAAAATGCTATATTTATCTATTTATTTATTGTCCTACTATTTTCAACATTTTATCTTTCCCACCCACACTGTAACTAACTTGAGACCATAAAACTACTATATATATGTAACTTATAACCAGTGTTCACCATAACGGGGCATGTAAATCTAAAAGTAACTGGCATTTGAGGAAGCTGCAAATGCAAACCATAAAAACATTAGGTTCTGAGATAGTTAACTGTCTAAGTACATACTTGTTATACTAATTTTCAAGTTGTCTAATTTAATACTGACTCTTTATACTCACATCAAAGGCTGAGCCATATTTTGGCAACAACAAAAAAATTAATGTTTCAGATTATTTTTATTTTTAAAATACGTATTGCAGGCCTACATTTCACTTTGCAGAGGACACGTTAGCACTATAAGATATTGACAAAATGCAACATAAACAGTGTCAGTATTCTACCTTGTTGTACTATGGTTAGATAAGTTATATAATACAGTAATAATAATACTAAATAGTCTAGACTACACATACAGTAACTAAGTTAGAATCTTTAGGTCAAACGGTCAACATTATTTCTGTCCTTTGAAGAGGTTACTGTTGATACTGACAAAGACTATGGTGTGGATTTGGTATATCAGAATTTTCAGAAAGAACTTGATAAAATGTAACATAAAAGGCTTGTTAAAAAAGTTGCCTCAATGGGTGTAGGATGGGGGGGTTAAAGTTGGAGATCCAAAAAAGGCTAGAGGAAAGGAAGCATAGGGTTTTATTAATGGAGTTCAGTCAAACTGGGTTAATGTAAAAAGCATGATACCTCAAGACTATGTTGGGGCTTTGCTGTTTTTGATTTACATCAATGGCAGAGATAAAGGAATAATCAATAAATTGCTTATGTTTGCCGATAATATTATCTTGGGTGTTGCTAGCTGTGACAATGTTGCCACTGCTGTTTTACAAAAGAATTTAACTAAATTGGTAAATTGAGAAAATAACTGACAGATTGCTTTTATCTATAAATGCAAAGTGGTGATGATGATTATCATATTTTACGTTACAAGTATAATTTAGATAGGAATAACCTTAACAATGTGGTAGAGGAAAATCATCTTGGCATCCTGCTTGCCCAGTCTCTTAAACCATCCAAGCAGTGTGCAGTTGCTAGTTTAGAGCAAATTTGGGTTTTGTGTTCTGTTTGCAAAAATACTGAATATAAGACTACACAAATTATCATTCCACTGCACAGGTAAGGGATTATTTGAATATTGTGTTCAGCCTTGGGATCCTTACCTTAAAAATGGTGTTGAATTGTAAGAACAGTTTATAGGAGGACTACTAGGATGGTACCTAAGATAGAAAGGTTTTCAAATAATAACAGGATAAGATTTCTGAAATATTTTTATTTTTTTTGAAGAAAGGAGTTAGAAGGTATCTGATTTAAGTATTCAAGATGAGGGAACCTATTTTATCAACTGAACAAAATGTATTGTAGAAATCTGCTAATTCTGAAAAAATATATCGATAATAAGATTTGTTTTACTATTGTCTGTAAATATAAGAATAGGCCAAAATGCAGGAGTCTCATACTAAATGGGATAGTGTTGGTTACACAAATAAAGGAAAACAATTTTCAACTTACATATTTTTTACTTTTTTAACAGAATGAATGGCTTCTGAAATGGTTTACCTTCAGGTGTGCTAGACGCAGTAAATTTAAGGACAGGTTAGGATCTCTTTAGTTGCTTTATCTTGCAAATAAAGTTTGAGGGGATCTGACTGAAGTGTTCAAGATTGTGAAATGATAGTGTTGATGAATTTTATTTTTTTGTATTTAATGTAGTTAGTGCTAATGGTCACAAATATATATTTCTGTAGGGTCGGAATTATCTTCAGCTAAAAAAAATTTATTTTTCGAACAGGGTAATGGCCTTTGGAATGAGTTGCCTTCAGATGTGGTGGCTGCAGTTAATTCAACTTAAATTTTAAGGGAGTTTAACTTTAAGAGGAAGGAAGCTTGAATGATAAAGGTTGACATTGAGTGTATTTGTATTTTAAAGGTTAGTTCAGTGGGCGTGACGGCCAATATAGATCACCAGGTCCTTGTTGTTCTTAAATGATAAATCATATACATATATGTTTAAATTATCAGGGCAAGAATGAAGTTTTAATTTCATGTGAAATATCGAGTCGATGAACCAACATGGACCCTTAACTGCTTGGTGCTTAAGTTAAAGTTCAACGTAAAATTAAGTAGTACGCAATTATACATTTTTAACATACCAGATAGCCGCCTTCTCCTGATGCATGTCTATGAGGATCAGTAAGTTGTTTAATGTATTCTTTTTTTAATGCAGCCCGAAGTTTAGCTCTTTCTGCAACTGCACGCTTTTCTTCGAAAGATGCATCTACTTGACCGTCACCCATCTTTCCGACTGGTTGTAAATACGCCACCTGTTCAGAAACGTTATAAGGATTCCTCAAATGTTTTGAATTTCAATAACTATTTTATTATCAGATAACACATACAATCGTACTCTGAATATAACAAAATTTCACCGAGTTCTCATTGTGATTGGAGTTTGTTGTTTTAATGACAACAAAATAGTATTAAATTGTTGCATACTAATCTTCTATCTTATTTTTGTCTATTAAGCAAATCTTCCGTATTTGTTGCTGAATCTGCTGCAATCTTCAAGTATAATCTTGATTTAGTGATAAGGACTTTCTGTTAATCAAGTTTAAGAAAACAAAAGACTGCTTCAGACACTTAATTAACATTAATCTTTTAAAAAAATACTTCTCAGATAATTAAAGAAATCTGATACACCAATAAGGTCCTCCTTCCGGGGGTAACTTAGCGGTAAACTTGAGGGCTTATAATACTAAATATGGAGACTCGATCTCAGTGTAAGCATAGCACGAATACCTATTCTGCAGCTTTACTCGTAAAACAAACAATAATGAAAAATTAGTAATTATCTCATACATTTTCTGTCATGCAAGATATATTTGTAATTAAATTATCAATTACCTCCAGAATTTTAGCCCCAGTGGCTCAGCAGTAAGCCCGAAGGGGTATAACTCTGTTTTTGTACGCCTAAAATTTAGAAGAGTAAATCCACCTTATATTTTTTTTCCAGAAAACTCTCGATTCCTTACTTAAACTACTGAAAAGTACAAGCCTACACTAGCCTTCTATAAGCCAATCATCCTATTCAAAAAATCAAATTGTCTTAACTGGAGTCTAGTTCTACCTTTTCCAAATCTTAAACTTTCGTCTTATTGTCCTATTATTTATATTCATATAACACATATGAATCATAGGCCTTCACCCTTCTAAGTTTCAATAACATCACCACTTATCCTTCTTTTTTTTTTTCAAAAGAAAATAAGTTAATAGACTTTAACCTAATTCTGTTGGATAACTCTTCCATCCCCTGAATCACCCTAGTAGTCCTTCTCTTAAATATTTTCAATAAGTCAATATCCTTCCCGTAACTTCGTTCCGACGAAACTTTAGCGACACAAGTCCTAACTTAATATCCTTTCAATATCATTTCCATAACTTCGTTCCGACGAAACTTTAGCGACACAAGTCTTTACTTAATAAAACTGGTTTATTCTTTCCGAATATAACTTTACGATACACTTAATTTCAACAATCGCGCTGAAACAAACACTATAACAACGAACGTGCTCAATAATACTCTATGACTGTAGATCAATTACTCACTGTCTACACAAACATTATTGTCCCGTCACGTTGTCACCCTCTTATATATACCAGACTACCCTATCT